GCTAATCCATCCCCAATTTGGTGGTTAAACTCAATGGCGACACTATAGGATAGGTCGTACACAAAAATAGGCTGATGCTAGGAGGATAAAAAGCTTAACACTTCTTATTAAGTGAAAAGGTCTGTCTTATTTAAAAAGCTTAACTTTTATATACTTTTCTTTCTTTGAATATATTAATGAAATTAATTTACCACCATCGTATCCTCTATAGATCTCATTATATAGATGTTTTTCAAACAAAGCCAATTAAACAATCATAGCGCAAAAATAAAAATCTTTTCTTTTCCCTTTTCAAAGCCAAATTTGTTTTTAAGAAAATTATGGATGCTAGATATTGGCATGAAAAGCGGTTTGATACAGCTGCAACCCTACAAAAATAACTAAAGCCTCTCCTCAAAACTTACAAAAATTTGCTATTCTAAAGTCAAAAAACCTTCAAATTGGATATCTTGATTTACTATTATAGTTGCGAAAAAAATTTATTTCGAGTCCTAAAAATAGTGTGTATATTTTAACGAATTATCAAGACCATCCATCCATTTCGTCCTAAAAAAAAGTGTTTACGAATCTACAAGATTTGTTCCATTTTTTTAGCTTAAATTTTACGGTCAGTGTTGGAACTAGTTTTTAGAGCCATCATAGAGATTTCCGAATCCCAAAGTGCTTTCGATACCATGAATCCTTTGGTTCTAAGTGTTTACCATTAATCATTTATTTGGGACAAGGTGTGTGCTCCAAAATCAGAACGTGGGCTGGGTGTTAGAAAAATTAAACTTGTAAATTTGTCTCTTTTGGCAAAGTGGAGGTGAAGGGCTTTATATTGTGAGGATGAGTTATGGAGGCAGGTGATTGTTGCATGGCTTTAGCAGTAATTCCTTCATAAGTGGTCAGGGAGGAGGTCAAGATGCTCACAATTGTGGCAAGGTATATGGGAATTGAGGAATATTGTTTCAAGAAATGTGAGTTGGGTTGTGAGTAAAGGTCACAAGGTTAATTTTTGGCATCATAAATGGTTGGAGACATACCTCTGAAGTTAAAATATTCTCAATCGTTCGAAAAAGTTTAAAATCAGGCTGCAATGGTTGTCGATAATTTCATATCTCATCGGTTAAATTCACATTGGCATGTAGAATGTATGTTTAACATATTACCAGATATATTTTTCAAACAACTGTCTTCTTTGCTGAAATGGCTGAACTGTGCTCGGTATACAATTTTAGGAGCTATGAGGACGTGAATGTGTACTACATGGGGAATTTTCGGTGAAGTCCGTTTCAGTTTGCTCTACCATGATAGAAGTGCGCCCTCGGTTGTTTTCACTTTGAAAGCTACATATAACTAGTAAGGTTCAAGTTTTTCTTTGGGTCCTCATTCAAGGTAAACTCTTTAACTATTGACAATTTCTTAGTTAGTATTTGTTTGTTGTGTAAAGAGGATGAGGAGAGTGTCATTGTCCTCTTTTTTTTTTTAGAGATATTTGGGGATGGGTGCAGTTGGTGCATCCGTAGCTGTAGAGGTAAGGTGTACCTTCAAATTTTATCATGGTATATAATTTTGATGTTAAAATGTTGTTAGGATTATCTCAAAATCTATTTTTATATCTAATTATAAAATTTTAAATTTCAAAAATAGTTAAAATCAAACAGATCTATAAACATATGAAAATCTTGAAAATGGACGGTGCAGATAATATGTTGTAAAATGCACTATTTCTGAGACTTAAAACCTTTTTATTTTTCATGGTCATACATCTCGATGTCGAGATGATCAATCAAAGGGTTTTTTAACAATAAAACAATTTTTTTCGATGGATTTTTGAGATGCATCCATAGTTTCTACTATATAAAGTTTCATCCTTATATAAACTTTTTTCTTTGGGGATAGGCATTTGGGATTGTAGGGATTGGGAATCCCAAAATGTGGCAAACAATTTGGAAGATATTTAGGGCAGCTATTTTATAAGAGGTGTGAAAAGAGAGGAATAATAGAACTTTTGAAGGGGTTATTCTTAATATGGAGGAGGTTAAAGAGAGAATTCTTTATGATTTGTGGTGTCTCATTTACTAAGGATGGGTTTGGGCTGTTCAAAGATCGAATCTCAAAAATATTGTGACCAGCTGTTCCCGATGTATCCGTCCTAAAGGTAAAGTGCAAAATTGTTATTGGAAATACCAATATCTCTTTTCTCCTACCCAAATATCTTTTTTTTTTTTTTGCAAAGTATCAAAACCTTTTGTGTTATTCTTAATGGAAAAATTATATCTATTCATATGGGGAGGCATATGCGCCTCTTGAGGCATACAATATTGATTTTAAAGATGGATGTCCCCGCTGAACAATGACAATAGTCAATGATTTATAAATTTACATCAAAATTTTTTTTTTTTTTTTTTTTTAAATTTATTTATTTTTACATATTCATGATTTGAATATGAGAGATTACACATATTTAAAAGATCAAGTCCAAAATCCATCTCAAAAAATAAATTTTGAAGGGGGGAACACATATGTACCTGTGGGTCCTAGGACTTATAAAAACTATGTCTATTCTTATAAGGTATTTTTATTTTGATGGAGGGCTAAAATTGAAAGATGCCCCTCCACCAATTTCTAACCCATTGTTCACTTTCTTTAAGGGTGTTTAGAAAATATGACAAATAATTGAAAAATATTAAATAATGCATTTCTTTGTGATAGTTTTCCTCCACAAAGCATGCTAACAAAATACAGGACAATCTACCCCTATCCTCAACAAAAGGATACTATCCCTATATTGCAAAATATGAGCAGGGATATTTCTCATTTTTTCATACTTGGGAAAGAAATTTTCAATTTTTTCAATATAGAGAGAGAGAGAGATTTTGCTTGTGCTTTTATAAAGAGAGAGAAAGACAGATTTGCTTTGGTCTTTGTGATCAAGATTGATTGCTTTAGAGAGAGAAAGAAATATTTGCTGTAGGTTTTTTATTTTTTATGTTTTTTATTTTTATTTTATGAATTGATCAAAAGAGAGAGAGAGAGAGAGAGAGAGATTTCGTTTTTTATGAATTGATCAAAAGAGAGAGAGAGAGAGAGAGAGAGAGAGATTTCGTTTACTTCTTGGTGCTCTCACTAAAGAGAAAGAAAAATATCATTAAGATCATGAATGAAATGGCTAGATCAACAAGATTACTAAAAAAGTAGTTCTTTTGCGTAACTCTTTCAAGTAAGTCGCTCCTCCATAATGTTGCTGGAAATGCTCAAATTATCATTCATCCGAATTTGAAGCTCTCAATAGCCTGATTTTGACATAATTAGCCCGTTTTTAGCAAGGTAAATTGCTTGATTTAACCACTTCATTACCTTTTTCAAGTGATGAGATTGAGAGAGAGTTGTTTTCCTCGAGGCAAGGGATCAGGTCAAGTCCGGGTCAATCCTGACCTGAGCAGGTATCACCCAGACTCAAACCCAACCTGGATTTGGGTTTAGGTGTCCTATCCAAATAACTTGGTCCAAGCCCAAGTTAGGTCCAAGTAATTTAGATTCATACCCAATATGGCTCAGGTCAAGAAATTTGTTTTTAAAAATTTTATTTTAAATATTATTAGAAAAAGTTTATACAAGGTTGCAACATTAAAATGTAGAATTATGGATGCACCTCAAAAATCTACCAGAAAAGTTGTTTTAATATTGAAAAACCCTCTAATTGATCATCTAGACATTGAGATATATGAATATGAAAAAAAAAAGTTTTTTAGTCCAAAAAATAGTGCATCTTGCAACACATTATCTAGACTGTCAATTTTCAAGATTTTCATATATTTATAGATCTACAAGTAATTTTGGTGTAAAAAATTCTTAGGATTATCTAAAAATCTATTTTATATCTAATTATAAAATTTTAATCTCCAAAATTAGTTAAAAACAAGTAAACCTATAAATATATGAAAATCATGAAAATGGACGGTCTAGATAATATGTTGCAAGATGCACTATTTCTCGGATTCAAAGTCTTTTTTTTTTATATTCATACATCTCGATGTCGAGGTGATCAATTAGAGGGTTTTTCAATATTAAAACAACCTTTTCCGATTGATTTTTGAGGTGCATCTGTAATTCTACATTTTAAGGTTACAAACCGTATGTAAACTTTTTCCATACATATTTGATGGGGAAAATTTCGTATAGAATCCTAATTCCTCATATTATTTTATGGTAGACCTTCTTTTCATTTTTTTTCAAGCGGCTTAAAAAAATCCCTAAAAATTTCACCTTACGGATTTTTTTATACCGTTTGAAAGAAAAACATAAAGAAGGTCTACCATGAAATAATATGATGAATTAGAGTTCTATATGAAATTTTCCCTATTTATATTTTTTGTGTATTTCATAAAGGGTCGGTCGGGTCATCCTCGATCTAGCCCCACCCAACCGATCAAGTCCATGCCTAATCTATGACCCAAGTCAAGAACTGGACCCAACCTGCCGGGTCTAAACCTCGAACACGGAGCCGGACCCAGTTCGGGTCAACCTAACCCATTGCCACTCTCCTGGTGACTACGAGGGGCAGGGGAGAGAGAAGGGGTATAATGGTCTCCAAGGCGGATTTTCAACCTTTCCTAAACTGACAGGTGGCCTCCTACATGGAAACCACGTGGCACAACCAAAAGCCGACTAATCACAACCACCACGGATCGCCACGTGTGGCCATATCTCAAAAGCCGAGGCACATAAGCCTACACACTTCTGTGTTGTACTCTCAAACATACACACTCCTCACTTTCGCACGGTCATCCGTTAAACATACGGTAGCGATGAACTAATGTACTGAGCCGATGCATGATAAAGAAGCCTTTCTCCCAATAAGGTTATCTACAGCCATACGTTTACCAAATGAGTGGTTGATGTGTTGATTGTGTATTTTCAAGAATACACATGTCGTGTATGATACACATTCCTTTTTTGTTTTCGTCGATATAAAAGCGTTTTAATAGCTCCGTATTCTTTGTATCAGTGATTCATTCACTTTGTTCTGTGGTAAAAAGAATAATCGCTTTTATTATGTGATTCTCTAATTCTAGGGTTTTGATCTCGAGCTAGGGTTTCTTTTAATCAAGGGTTTTGAGAATTTCCTGAGAAGATCGGGTATCTGCAACTCTAGGATTTGAGGACTTGCTCTGCTGATCTGGTTTCTGCAAATTTAGGGTTTTGAGTTTTTCTTTGATGATCAGATCAGGTAACTGAAATTCTAGGGTTTATTAGTTTAAGATGATGATGGTTTGTCTTAGATTGAAGACCTCCGAGATCTGTTCCGTGGTTAATTACTCTATTTCTTTGGACTAGGGTTTGATAGATTTGAGCTCTGTATATGTTTGAAAAGTGGCAGTAACCGGGAACTGAAATTCACAGCTGGTGTTTCTGAATTACAGCAGATATTTCTATTTAGTGGAACGTTTTGGGATCTATTTATGTTAGCAAAATGAGATGACCCCATATTTTGAAGAGTTATAGCTAGGATTTCATTTCTTTATGAGGATCCCGAGTCCTGGTTTTTATTTTCCTGATCACTAGAATTTTGGAATTTTGATTAGAAGTCAGTAGATTTATGCTCTGAAAGTCTTGATAATATTGGAATTCATAGTTGGTAATTGAGACTTGATGGGAAATGATATCTGATGATGAACTTTAGGTGGTAATTTTTGTCTAGAATTCTAATAAAATCAGGCTCTTTCTTTCGATTTTCTCAACCTTATTGGTGTATTTTGGAATAATGGCTCAAGAAAGCAAGAAGAGAGATGCTGAAGATATGGGCCATGAGCCACCTAAAGGCCCGATTTTTTGTGCAAATAAGTGTGGTTTTTTTGGAAGCGCTTCAACAAACAATCTTTGCTCAAAGTGTTATAAGGATTTCTACCTAAAGCAATTGAAGGAGGATGAAAATATCACAGACAAGGTGATTCCTTGCTTGAATAATGAACCCAATGCAAAAGTCGATGCGGCCAACCTGCAAAATTCAGAAGATGGGAAGAAGAATAAGGGGGTAGTCGTTGATGGAACCTCTTCTGAAGAGCCACAAAAACAAGCTCCAAATCGTTGTCGTCTGTGCAGGAAACGTGTTGGATTAGCTGGATTTCGATGTCGATGTGGGGGACTGTTTTGCTCGACTCATCGATACTCTGATAAACACAATTGCTCATTCGATTACAGGGCTTCTGGCCAAGATGCAATTGCCAAGGCAAACCCAGTTGTCAAGGCCGAGAAGGTTGAAAAGATTTGAGGATAATGAGGCAAAAAATCCATATCATCATTTTTACTTTACCTTTGCTTTGAAATTCGTGAAGAAAAATATTCATGGGAATTTGGCTTTAAGTGGGCTCTTCTCTATGCTCTATAAAAAAGAATGCTATGCGTGGAACAGATGGCATGTGATCTCTTCACAGATTATTCATGTCTTATGATGCCATTATGTGGGTTACAGTCATAGATCTCCTTGATTGTTTGGTGTTGGCCATGTACAGTCTGATTTTCTCTATGAAGTGGGTCTCTTCTTATTGTTTTTGTCCATAGTTCTGGAGTCTCTTATGGAAATGCATTGTGGAAACAGTTTAATGATATCAATATTACTCTCTTTTTTGTGTTTTATTGTGATTATCTATCATGGAATGAATGTGGACTATGAAATTCTCTGTGGTTATCTGTGATGGAATGACTATTTATCATATATTCTTGACGGTATGCATCTCTGTGATGCATTTTCTCATTTTCTGCTGATGTTGATGTTCTGGACGATGTTTGCATCCTGCAAGTTGATGAACTGCTTTATTGGGTTGCTTTTGTTCAGCTGTTATCCTTTCTTTTCTTCTTTGATCAGTAGGCATGGAATTGAAGTGCTTCTGTTTTTTACAATAATTATTTTTGCAGTTAGCTTTTTGAGTTGAAGTGTTTCTTGTTCACGTGACTCTGCTGATCGGCCAAATCCTCTCCGAGTGAAGATGTTTCTTTAGAAAACTCTTCGGTTTCAGTTTACTCAATGGGCTTGAGTAAACAATATCTGTCCATTTTAATTCTAAAATAGTTGATACCAGATTGATGATAAGCCCCTATGTCCCTTCACCTAGAACAAGGTAATTCATCTGGATTTGGAAATTCTCTTGAGAACTGTGATAGGAAATCAGTACATCCCAGTGGCATTTGTAATTTTACAGGAACAGCCTGTCCACAAATGTGGCAACAATAGGACTTGAAAACTCTGCAGAGAAAGAGTTCTATGAACTGATCAGAAGAAAGAAGAAAAAGTGAAAAACCATCTTTTATTGTTTATTGTAGATGCTAAAACTTGAGTGCTTTTAATCTAGACTTATTTGAGTATATCATGGAGATGACGCACACTCAATTACACAAGAAACAATTGACTTGGCGTGAGCCAAAACTTATTTTCTCTACCTTATTTTTATGGTGAGGCTGTGTGACAGCTGCAGTGAAGAGATACTGAGCTATCTTCTCGGGCTTCATGCGCCCTTGTTCTGTCAACAATTCATCAAGAGGCCACTTTTCTATTGTTACAAACCCTAACTCTGATAGACATACTTCAGTATTTTATGCTTACAGGGCTCACATTCCAATAAGAAACTTACCAAAGCTATCTTGGAACAAAACATCAGGTGATGAAATAAGGAGGGAACAGGATAAGCCTAACTCATAAGGAAACTTAGGCAGGACGACCTTGACTCTTGAGTTAACATATAATGATATTCTAAAGCAAACATTACATGATCTTTGATGCATGGCATGACATTGGTATTGGTTTATGAAAATGCCTATGGCCTGGATTCAAGTTAAGAGCCTCTCTTAAAAATGGTGATACTGATTCTTTGTTCTCTACCTCGGTTCAGCATTCAAAATATTATGAAGATTTTAACTGGAAAAGCGGAGATTAGTGTCTGCGTTGATGGTGGGGGTAATTGAAGGTGGGTATCAGACCTGGGATGTTCTTTTCTATATCTATTTGTTCGACCGATTACTGCATTTCATTGAGCAAATTAGCTGGTAATGTAAGATCTTTAGCAGTGGCAGTGCAATAAAATGTGTGCATTATGCTTAATTTGGTGCTTTTGATTGAAAAAACATAAATAGTACAGATGTATTCTACCATAACTATTCTCATGATCCCACCACATTGTCATTGCTTAGCTATTGCCTACCGGACGATGACAGACCTAAACAGTCTTAGGACATGTTTGATTTCTGGACTTTTTGGAAGTGGGAGTTCCAATAACTCCCACTTCTGTGTTGTCGTCACCCCGTGGAAGCCGCAAGGTTGAAGTGCGGCATTCTACGGAGCTATTTTTTCACTGTAAAAAAGCTTCATTTTTAGAAGCAACCCCTTTTGCTGGAAGAGGCGGCTTCCGTGTCCCACTTCCAAAATGTTAAAAAAATCAAAACCTAGCTTCCATGTCCCAAATCCAAATGTTTAAAAAAAGCGAAACACGCCGTAACGGTTTTCTTTTCCTTTGTATTGTGGTATATACTTCTGCTTGTTTGGAATGTATATATTATTTACAATTCCTCGATTATGTAAAGATATTTATCCTATAATATCATGCACCTTCGAAGAAAGATTACATTCAAGATAAGTTTTAACCGAGTTTTATGTTTGCTGTTTACTTAATACAATTAAACTTTAATAAAGTTTTATGTTTGATGCTTACTGAATACAATTCACCCCATAGGATGTGATTGAGGTTCTCATTTTTTTTTAGACCGTGAAATCGCCAAATCCCCTTGTCACATTCATTGTCAATATCCAAACGTCTCAAAATACAGGTGCAAAGCTCCATTCAAGATCCTTATTTGAAAAAGATGCACATACAAATTCTCACAGATCAATAAACACATATAAGAGAGAGACCGATCACCAAACACATATAAGGGAGAGAGATATAAGAGAGACCGATCACCAAACACATATAAGAGAGAGAGAGAGCATAATAAGGAGCAAAGGCTGAAGAAGGGTCACATTATTACAGTTACTAATTTAGGAATTTGTTAGCAGGTGCCCTAAGCTAAGAAAACATTTTAAATAACAGAAAGTTGTTGGTAAGACATGTCCGTTCTGGTTTCAAAGATTTTAGGACCTGAAACACATCTTATCCATGAATTTAGAGCTAAAAAAATAAACGGATCTAATTCTCTTTGAAGAATCGAATGAACGGTTTTAAAAATGGGTAAAAAAAATATTATTAAAGCGCGACTTTTCAGGCTCATGATCGTGTTTGCCCGAGATGATATAAGGGTGGGGTCGGGTCGGGTCTACTCTGGGTCCGACCCAGAATCGGATCCGACTGGACCCGACCCAAAAATAAAAAATAAATATATTTAAGTATTATGTTAAATATATGTATGTATTATTTAAATACTATAATTAAAAGTATATTTATTTAAATATTATTTACTATTAGAGTCGAGTCCAGGTTGGGTCCGCATGGACCCAAACCCAAATAGTGTTCAGGTGCAATATTTGGACCTGAACCTTACCCACTAAATCCAATTTTTGGACCCAAACCTGGGCCTAAGTCTGGTCACAAGTCGGATCCGGATCCGAAGTTCAATGTCGTGGATGCAAAATCCATCGCTACGGAAGGTGGATCCACTTGAATAAGTGCGTCTGAAACTCCACCTTTCAGAAAATTGCAAGGTCACTTGAAGAGGTGCATCTGAGGACGCATCAAAACTCCACCCTTTTTAGAAAATTACAGGGTCACCGGTCTTAGGAGTTTTAGTTTAGGAAAAGAAATTGGTGAGTTGGCGGTTTTAGCCCAGCCCAAAAAACGTGGCACCCCAAATTTCGCTATACTTTGGATGATTTAGGACCCAAAAAATATGCTTACCATAATCTTAGCTCCCAACATCACAAAAATGGATTTGAAGCCCATTAATGGATTTGTAGTGTTTTAGAATAGCTTTTGGGTCGCTAATCTGAAAATAAATGCATCTTGAAATGCATCCTCATGCCAACGCTACCCTTTAATTTACTTTGGTGAAGCTAGGGGTGGAATTGGGTAGGGTCAACCTGAAATCCAAACTTTGGATTTAATGGGTTGAATGTAGGTCCACTTGATCTTGACGCGATCGAGGTTGGGTTTTTTAGTCCAAATAATATCAGATTGGATTGGGTCGGCCCTTGGTGGGTTTCAACCTGATCTAATCTGCCCTCGTGTATATTTGTATTTTTGCTTTTTATGTATAGACCTAAAAATGTGGGCCGGGCTTGGGTCAAATTGGCTTGGACTAGACCTAGGTCTGGGTCCAACTTATACCTAACCGGCTCAGGTCCTGGTTGGGGTCAACCTAGACCTAATCCAACCCATTCCCACCCCTAGGTCAAGTTTTATTGCAAAGTTCTCAAATCGCAATATTTTTAACATCCCACTCAATTTTTTGGGTCCAATTTCAAATAACCCATCGTTCTTTTGAAAATTGTAAAGCCCGTCACTTTGAAAATTGATTTTCCTTACAAATAATGAGGTATCAAATTAAAGTGTAAAATAAGGTCAAATAGATATAGGGGGTTAGGAGATAGTTTTTTTGAAAACTATTGCAGTTGGATACTTTTCTAGTATGTGGATCTATTGAGAAATGATACATCAAATTATGATGTACGGAACAATTTTCCCTACAAATACTTTTAAATAAAAATTAAAAATTATTTGTTTTGACAAGAAGTAAAGCTGGTGTTGTCTATACAAAGCAATCCCCATTCTCCAATCTAACAACGCCAGTGCCATTTTTGATGTCAAATGAAAGCCAGAAACCATTCACCCCAATCTTTTAGAGCGACGTATAGCTGCTCTCTCTCTCTACCGCCAGGGTTTCAGCGGTGTGGTCGGTTTTCTTCAGCTACAATGCGTATTAGGCAGCCTCTTGGGTCGGAAATACACCTCTCATCAATCTCTTCTTCGCCGCGACGGTCTTGGTAATGTGGTTCCTCGACTTCCTCTTGATATTGCATTCGGCAAAGCTCGAGGCCTGTGTGGAGAGGAATTCTCTTAAAATGGCAACCCCCGTATCGATAATCGCACTAACCATTGCATTCTAAACGTATTTGCTGATGAGTGTCCCTCCTCCCTTGAGGTGGGTGGTGTGGGTTGCTTGTGCTGTTATTGTGTTGAGTGCTGTGGGAACGAAGAAGTTCTAAATCAGATTTGAATACAATTCTAATACAGAGCAAAATCAGTTCAATTCGAATAAAAATCAAAACAGATGCCATGATTAGATTTGCAACAGGAAACAGCAAATATGGGATAACTGATCACAGATCAGATGAAAAATAGTGAATTTTTTCAAACATTCCAAGATTATATTACCTTGCAACACCAGCCAGTGGGTTGGCCATCTCCCATCAAACCAAAATACATGGCAGGGCCAATGAGCTCCCTGTTAAATCCTAAATTCATCCCACACAATGGGAACAATGTGCCCTTTGGGATAGGGTTGGCAACAGGTTGGGTATGGATCGGGTCCAGCCGGACCCAAACCCGAATAATATTCGAGTCCAGGTTTTGGACCTCGACCCAACCCGTCGGCCAAGAGTTGGACCCATACTGTCTCCATCAGGTCCTAGGTCTAGTCGGGTCCGTTGCTAC